TTATAATATATATCACTACTTATCCAATAGAATATATATATGTATATATAATAAGTAGTGATAAGTAGTGATATATATAAATATATATGCATATATAAATATAAAATATTATTATATATATAATATATATAAAATATTATTGGTTGTGTGTTTCTGGAAAACCCTAACAAACTCTTCCAGAAGTGGGAAAAATCATTAAGCTGGATAATCCCAAGAATGCAAGTATTCTTTGACATTAGAAAATCTATCATTAAAAAAAAAAACAACTATCATTATAATTTACCATCATCTCAAAAGATGCACATTTTACTTCTGTCCAAGAAAACTTATTTTAAAAAAAATATAAAAGGATTCCATTATACTCATCATTTTTATTAGACTACACCATCATAAAACATACATGATGAACAGGTCATAAGTGACTATATCAACGATACCTAAGAGTCACATAGCACTTGATAGCTTGCAAATCACTTTCCATCCATTATCTACATAATCTAGCCACTCTGAAGGAGGTATTACATTTTTAAAAAATATATAAATGAGGAAACAGATTGAAAAGGATGAAGTGATTTGTCCCAAATCCCAGTTATTTTCATTTATTAGTTGGTTCTCTAGGATATCCTGTGTTGTATATCAAATTTAAATGAACAGATATCTATATACATGTAATATATAATAGGAAAAAAACCCCAAAATTCTGAATTCAATTCTCCAGTGGTTTTTACGTGCTCTTGGAACAAAGCTATAAATAAAAAAAACTAACACAATAGTTCATATGTTTACGTACTTAATCAAACCTACCTTTCCTTCTGAAATTTGTAATCTACAATTAAATACTGGTTGTTTCCTCAACTTAAACACTATAGTTCCTTGAAAGCTAGATGAAGCTTGCAGCCTGGTAGTTTCTACCTACCAACTTGGCAACTTATATTGGAGGGACAAGTGAGCACTCCTCTTGGTACTTAATCCTAACTAGTTGCATATACCTCTGTATGCCACAAGCCTTTGACAACTTGACCTGCTATTTTGGTGTCAAATGAAAGGATGTCGTGGGAAATATGTAGGAGTGCTTTTCCCTATTTCTCAAAGTATAGCTAAAAACCATGGACATTCTATATAAAACGATGTTAAGATTCTGAAAGGTGGGGAGAATACAAACTGGCTGGGGACCTCAGGACCTGAAGAACAACACAGACTGAGTCCCTTGGGTTTTCCTTTGCCCTCATCTATCCCAGACTGGATTCTGAAGAAGCTGGCAACCAAGAAATGCCAAGGGGCACAGACAAAAACCAAACCAAACCAAAACAAACAAAAATGGCTCAAGAAAATCTGTTCTTGGGGCGCCTGGGTGGCTCAGTGGGTTAAAGCCTCTGCCTTCGGCTCAGGTCATGATCCCAGGGTCCTGGGATCGAGCCCCACATTGGGCTCTCTGCTCAGCAGGGAGCCTGCTTCCTCCTCTCTCTCTGCCTGCCTCTCTGCCTACTTGTGATCTCTGTCTGTCAAATAAATAAATAAATAAATAAAATCTTTAAAAAAAAAAAAAAGAAAATCTGTTCTTTCTTAATAAAGGATGAGGAAAGAAGTGGACTAGCAAGACAGAAAACTTGTAGACAATACCCATCCTACTCCAGCCAAAGAGCTGAGACCAAATGGGGAGCCTACACTTCTACTTCCCCAGTCTGTAACAAGGTTCCTCAGTGCTCCACCTCTGCATCACAGTGGTATCAGAGAAGGTCAAGTAAGGACAGAATTTTCCAAACCAACTCTTTCCCCATCCCACCCTGGCAGTGCCCATGGAGACCATGGGGGAGAAGGCTTCCAATGCTACCCAGAGACAAGACGTCTCTCCCCTACCTCGCTGGTGTGGGCTCAGTAGAGGCCTGGTAGGGAGTTTTAACTCCCACCCCTACCTAGCAGTAGTGAGGACGCCTATCCTGGTATCAGTAGAGGCCAATGATGAGCCTGCACTTCCAACACCAACTTACAGTAATAAGCAGTAACCCCTCAACCCTTTCTCCAAAGAGGCCTGCCCAAATAGAAGCTTTAAATAGGAAACAGAGTCTCATAACATAAAACTCAAAATGGCCATATTTCAACTAAAAATTGCCGGCGCACACAGAAGGAAAATCTCAACTCAAATAAGACAGCCCACAGATGCCAACACTGAAATGACACAGATGTTAGAATTACCCGATAAAAGATTTTAAAATAGCCGTCATAAAATGCCTCAATGAGCAAGGACAAACATGCTTGACGCGATTTTAGAAAAGAGTTTCAGTAAAGAAGTAGAATACAATCAAATGGAACTGAAAAATAGAAATGAAATAAAACCCAATGATGGAGTCAACATCAGAAGGGAAGGGGCAGAGGAAAGAATTAGTGAAGTTGAAGATAGAACAATAGAAAATACGCAACCTGAACAACAGAAAAGAAATTACTGTGGATGGAATTGTGCGTCAACCATCCCCCAACCACCAATTCATGTTGAAGCCCTAACCAATGTGACTGTATTTAGAGACAGGGTTTGCAGAAGGTAATTAAGGTTAAATGAGGTCGCAAGTATGGGGTCTTAAGCTGATAGGATTGGTAGCCTTGTAAGATAGAATTCTCTCCGCATGTGCAGGCAGGCAGGAAGAGCCGTGAGGACAAGCAAGGAGGTGGCTGTCTACAAGCTAGGAAGAGAACCCTCTTACCAGAAACCCAATCAGTGCATACCTTGATCTTGGCCTTCCCAGCCTCTAGAATGGTGAGAAATGAACTTCTGTTATATGAGCCCCCCAGTCTATGGTATTTTGTTTTGGCACCCCCAAGCAGATTAACAGATTTTGGCACCTTCAAAAGGGGTGCTGCTCTAACAGATGCCTAAAGATGTGAAAGCACCTTTGGAACTGGGTAATGGGTAGAGGTTGGCAGAGTTTTGAGGTGCACGCTCTAAATATGGATGTTAAAGGCCGTTCTGATGAAATCTCAGACAGAAATGAGGAACACGTTACCGGAAACTGGAAGGCAATCCTTGTTGTAAAGATCCAGTGTTTTGTGGAAGGTAGAACTTATAAGCAAAGAAACTGTAGACATTCAACACAGATTTCCAAGCAAAGTGTTGGAGGTGTAGCTTGGGCCCTCCTTACTGCTTATAACAAAATGCAAGAGGTGAGAGGTACATCCAAGGACTTGTTAAGCAAAAACAAAAACAAAACCCCCAAACCCTAGAACTTAGAGATTTGGAAAATTCTGTCCGCCCATATTGCAAAATATGAGAAAGCCTGTTCTATAGAGAACACTAAGGGTGTGGCTGAACAACCATTTGGAAAAGAGAACAAGGGTGTGACTCATGCGTGTGATTACGTACAGCCATCTCCACAGAAGCCGGGATGGTACCAGCAGAAACATGCCAGCTGGGACTCAAGGGACAGAAAAACTAGACAAATGGAGGAAGACTCTCAGATCCTACAGGACTGGACAATAAAGCTACTCAGCCACAAACATGCTCTATGTTTCAAAAAAAAAAAAGAATGACTCAAGTCAACTTCAGGATCATCGCTGCCTCCTGTGTCAAAGGGTGGGGACATCACCTTAGTTTCAACAGGCCAGCTGCCACAGATGCCAACAAAGTTCTGGAGGCAGGGCTACCCAGCAGAGACTTGGTGCTGAGACTGCTGCCAGTGGGTCCAGAAGGTGGGATCACTGTCTCAGTGGATCTGGAAGGTGGGGCATCAAGCCAAATAAGGATTGTTCTCAAGACCTAAGATTTTATGGAGTTTGTCTTGCTGGGTTTTGGACTTGCTGGGGACCTCTTACTCCTTCCTCCTTTCCTATTTCCCCCTTTTGGAATGAGAATATCTATCACATGCCTGTCCCACAATCCTATTTTGGAAGCGTATAACTTATCTGGTTTCACAGGTTCACAACTGAACAAGAATTTTGCCTCAGGATAAATTATACCTTAAGCCTCACCCATATCTGATTTATGTGACATTTAGGTAAGATTTCAGACTTGATGTTGGAATGAGTTAAGATTTGAGGGGTTGTTAGGATGGAGGAAATGTATTTTGCATGAACATGAATTTGGGGGAGCCAGGGGCAGAATGCTATGGACTGAATTGTGTGCCCCCCAAATTCATATGTTGAAGTGTTAACTCTCAGTGTGAATTGTATTTGGACACAGGGGTTCTCAGAGGTAACTAAGGTTAAATGAGGTCATAAGGCTGGGGTCCTAACCAGATAGGACTGGCAGCTTTATAGGAAATAGAAGAGAGAGAGCTCTCTTTTCCCATGAAAGCACCAAAAAAAGGCCTCGTGAGGACACAGCAAGAAGGTGGCCCTTTGCAATCCAGGAAGAGAGCCCTCACTAGGGGCCAAAGCTGACAGCTTGATCTTGGACTTCCCAGCCTCCAAAACTGTGAGAAATTCATTTCTGTTGTTTGAGCTCCCCATTCTAGATTATTTTGTTATGGTAGCCTGAGGACATAGAGGTAAAAATGTACTCTGGTGGGGGGGGGGAAGAAAAAAAAAACAAACAGAAGAAGAACAGAGCCTTGGGAACCTGTGGGACTACAATCAAAGATCTAACATGTGTGTCATCAGGGTCCTGGAAGGAGAGAAGGAGTGAGGGCTGGAAAATGTGTTCAAAGAAATGATGGGTAAAAATGCCCCAAATGTCAAAAAAAAAAAAAAAAAATGCCCCAAATGTCGTGAAACACATACACCTACAGACTGAAGTTCAGAAAACAGGATAAACTCAAAGAAATCCACATCAAGACACATCATCAAACTTGTGAAAACTAAAAACACAATACTCAAAATATGTGCAATAACCTTCAAAGTTTCAATGAAAAAAAAATATATATATATATGGCTGTCCTGTGCCTCTACCCGAGAATAAAATGGTGAAAGGTATTTCAAAGTCTTACCAAATTTCACAATCCAATACGCAGTGTCAGCTCAGGTCTACAACTTAATGTGACTATGGTATGAATGAGTCTAAAGTACAAACTACATACGATTGAGGTAAAATCTTTATAAATAAGCACATCCTCAGGTAACTTAGCTTAAAATAGGTAGCTTAAAATAGACTGAAAACATCAAAGGTCCCTTCTGTACCTTCTCTTTCTAGACTGTCAGTCTTGACCTCTGGAGTTAGTACGATTCTTAGAGGGCTGTGAATCAGTAAGCAAGGTCTCCGAGACAAAGAGTGCGGCAGCAGACTGGCACGCCGACGTTCCTTGGTGTCGGGGTGGAAACTCTGCACCTGGCCAACTAACGCGTCTAATACTTTCCCTGGTTGGGAGCACTCATTTGGGTAGTTATCGCAACCAACATTTCTTGAGTTCATTCCCCCAGTTCTTTTTCTCGATCTTTCTCATCTATCTCCTAAGTGACCCTGTACTTAAGCCTGAGGACCACTTCCCTTCCACCGCCACTCCCAACCCTGGACCAACTTGTTGTGAATTCTTAATCTCTTATTTCTGCCTCTGCAATTTCCCTAAAGAAGCCCTCATCTCTTTAAAGCTTCGTCTCCTTAGCATTAAGAGACTATCCAGCCCAGACAAGATGCCTTCTTTGCATCACCACACACCCTGTTTCTCTCCCAAGGATTTGGAAGCTTACATACACCTTAGGGTGTTGGAAATAATCATTCTCTTTCCCCGAGGAAATTTAAAGTCCTCTGCTGCACTGGAAAAATGTCAAACCCCTCCTTCACATCCTAAGTACGTTATGTATTAGCAATGACTTCTCAATATTTTTGCGTGACACACTCTGAACTTCATTTATAGCCCTCACATGACGTTTAGTAATTGTCTGCTAAATATGTTCTAAAGGTACCACATCGACATGGTCTCTATCCAGTATGAATTCTCTTTTGCTGGCCAAAGGCTGAATGCTCACTAAAGGCTTTTCCGTATTCTTTGGTTTTCCCTCCAGCATGAGTTTTCTGATGTTGAGAAAGGGATGAACTCTGGCTGAAGGCTTTTCCACATTCCTTACACTTATAGGGCTTTTCTCCAGTGTGAGTTTTCTGATGCTTTGTAAGAGATGAGCTCTGGCTGAAAGCTTTTCCACAGTCCTTACACTTGTAAGGTTTCTCTCCAGTGTGTGTTCTCTGATGACGAATAAGGGCTGAGCGGTCGCTGAAGGCTTTGGCACAATCATTGCATTTATAGGGTTTCTCCCCAGTGTGAGTTCTCTGGTGTTGAGTCAGGGCTGAACAGTAGCCAAAGGCTTTCCCACACTCATTACACTCATAAGGCCTCTCCCCAGTATGAGTTCTCTGGTGCTGAATAAGGCCTGATCGATCACTAAAGGCCTTCCCACATTCATTACACTTATAGGGTTTCTCTCCAGTGTGAATGACCTGATGCTGGGTAAGGAATGTGCTCTGGCTAAAGGCCTTCCCACACTCATTACACTCGTAAGGTTTTTCTCCAGTATGAATTCGCTGATGTTGAGTGAGGTATGAGCTCTGATTAAAGGCCTTCCCACATTCACTGCACTCATAGGGCTTCTCTCCAGTATGGATGATATGGTGGCGAATGAGAGCAGAGCGGTGACTGAAGGCTTTCCCACATTCATGACATTCGTAGGGTTTCTCTCCAGTATGAATTCTCTGGTGTAGAGTAAGGTGTATGCTCTGGCTAAAAGCTTTACCACATTCGTTACATTCATAGGGCTTTTCTCCTGTGTGAATTCTCTGATGCAAGACAAAAGCTGAGTAGTAACTAAAGGCTTTCTCACAATCATTACACTTCCAAGGTTTCTTCTCGGCACAAATCTTCTCGTGCCTCATTAGATCTGAATTTTAAGTTCTTTTTAAATGAATCACAGTTACGTAGTCTCCCTCCTTGCTGTTGAGTAAGAGATGACCTCTGACTAAAACTTTTCCCAAATTCATCACACTGGTAACGTCTCTCCCCAGAAGATTTCTTCTGAGTGACAGCCTCCTGTATTAAATGTTTCCCATGGTTTTCCTGCTGACTCTCTAAAGAATCCTCACATTCACAGGAACTTTCCTTTGGAAATCTTTCTAGTAACACACCAGGGGCTGATTCTTCCTCAGAAATATTCTGTTCTGTAGTAAGCTCCTTGCCTTCTGGTCTTTTCTCTCAGTCTGAAAAAAAAAAAAAACAAAAAAAACCCAAAAATACACATGGATCATTTCCTACACAGGAAAGAAAAATAACTGCTGTGGTAGGAAAATAATGAAAAACAAACAAATGAAAAACATTTACACAGAACAGAGGAACTTGAAAGCTCTCAAAAATCGCTTCACTATTTTGAAAGAACTTGAGAAAAGAAAGATGAGTGGGCAAAGAGGTGCAACTGCCCAAAAGGGAAAGAGTGAGCAGGCACTCAATATATTCTATTCTATCCAGGAGGGGAGGAGATGAGAAAGAATAAGTGAGAGTAAGACTAGGAAGAGGTCATGTGGGGAAATGGCAGATGAGATTTAAAAACGGGTGAAGTGGAGACAGGGAAAGACAGTCTTGTGGGGATTGCCCACTCTTACCCCCTCACTGGAGCCGCCACACCTCATGCCTTGAAATAATCAATGTTAGTTGAGCTCGTTGCTACCAGTCTTTCCCCATCCCAGGATTTCCCAATCACTGCTAATAGACTAACCTTCAAAACCTTAAAAAAAAGTCTCTGTTGGTTCCATTGTCTCAAGATGAGACACGGATTCTCTAAGCTAGCATTTAAAGTGGTCCAGATCAGGGCACCTGGGTGGCTCAGTTGGTTGAGCATCTGCCTTCGACTCAGGTCATGATCCCAGGGTCCTGGGATTAAGTCCCGCATCAGGTTCCTTGCTCAGCTGGGAGTCTGCTTCCCCCTTCCCCTCTGCTCCTCCCCCTGCTTGTGTGTACTCACACGAGCTGCGTGCACTCTCTAAAATAAATAAATAAAATCTTCAAAAAAAATTAAAAAAAAAACCAAAGAAACAAAGTGGTCCAGATCAGCAACTTCACATCATCACAAAGCTTAGTGATTAAGAAGCAAATGGAATGTCTGGGTGGTTCAGTTGGTTAAGTGTCCAACTCTTCTTGATTTCAGCTCAGGTCACAGTCTCAGGGTCATGAGACTGAGTTCCATGTCAGGCTCTGCGCTCAGCATGGAGCCTGCTTGGGATTCTCTCTCCTCCTTCCGCCCCTTCCGCTAGTGATCTCTCTCAAATAAATAAATAAATAAATCCTTAAAAAATAATAAATCCCTTTTCTTTTTCTTTTTTTAAAGATTTATTTATTTATTTGACAGACACACACACACAGACACACACACACACAGAGAGGGAGCACAAGCAGGGGGAGTGGGAGAAGGAGAAGCAGGCTTCCCACAAAGCAGGGAACCCAGTGTGGACCTCGATCTCAGAACCCTGGGATCATGACCCGAGCCTAAGGCAGACTCTTGACGACTGAGCCGCCCAGGCACCCATAATCTTAAAAAAAAAAAAAGAAGCAACTTATCACCTCTGACTGCCGCACACTTAACAAACCTCAAAGACTTAAACAGAACGAAGTTCAGAAAAAAAGAGCGGCATGTAGGGAGAAGGGCAAATCCCTATATGCTCAGACTTGTTCCCAATCTGTCAGGGCACCTGCCCCAAATCCTAGGTTTCCTAGTAAGAGTTTTGGAAGAAAAGCTAAAAATGTTTAAATATTTCCAGGCTTAAATGCTCCTTAATATCCATAAATAAAACAATGCAATACAATGTTCTCAACTACATGCCATAATCAGGGAAGTACCTGGGATTTTAAAGGGCAAATGGGTAGAAACAGGTTTAAGGCAAATGGACTTTCAGGACTTTCAGCTATGGGGAATGGAGGAATTAAATCCCCAAATGTCCATGGAGAACACACAGGAAGTGGAGGGAAGTAAGAGACTGCCTGTCTGGTGTTAAGGGTTCAAGCTGAAGGATGAAGAAGATGAAAAGGTTAGGCAGGTAAGTAACAAAAGCCTTGAAAGCAGGCAGAGGAATACAAAACTGGCAGAGTGGGGAATCTAACAGTGGGATGCTGCTTCAGTTAGACAAGGATAAGACTAGGGAAAGTATAATTAGCAGGCAGTCCATGACAGTATCCATTTTGATAGAAATGATCAAGTCAAATTCATGATATCTTTCAAAATAAGTTGCCAGGACTTAATCAATAGTTCTTACTTGCTTAGCATTTGGCCAGATACTATTCTAAGCATTTCTCTTGGATTATTTCATTTGATCTTCACAGCAACCCTATGACTTAAGTGCTATCATTATCCCTATTTTATAATTGGGGACTTTGAGTCACAGAGAGGATAATTCACTTGTTAAAGGTCACAGAGCTCGTAAGTAGTTGAGATTGGCTTTGAACACATTTAGACTGGTTCCAAGGTTTGCACTCAACCACTATTCTATGCTTCCTCTACTTACATAAAGAAGAAGGCAAGGGGAAAGTCAAGAGATCGATTTTTAGTCATTGATCTGAGACAAAAAGTCACACTCTTGAGATAAAATAACATATATGAAAAGCCTGGTTTAGAGCCTAACAGACAAGCATATTATTTTTTTTTAATATTTTATTTATTTATTTGACAGACAGAGATCACAAGTAGGCAGAGAGGAAGGCAGAGAAAGAGAGGAGGAAGCAGGCTCCCCGCTGAGCAGAGAGCCTGATGTGGGGCTCAATCCCAGGACCCTGGGATCGTGACTTGAGCTGAAGGTAGAGGCTTTAACCCACTGAGCCACCCAGGCGCCCCTATTATTATTATTATTTTTAAAGATTTTATTTATTTGACAGATAGAGATCACAGGTAGGCAGAGAAGCAGGCAGAGAGAGAGAGGAGGAAGCAGGCTCCCCACAAAGCAGAGAGCCCGACGCAGGGTTCAATCCCAGGACCCTGGGACCGTGACCCGAGCTGAAGGCAGAGGCCCAACCCACTGAGCCACCCAGGCGTCCCAACCAAGCATATTATTAACAAATACTGAAACGTTGACTTCATTTTACCTTATTTGGGAAAAAGAACTGGTTTGAAAGGGTGGAAAATATTTATTTTCTAAAAATTAAAAAAAAAAAGTAAAAAGTATGCATTTATAAAAGATGATCATCCACAGAGCTGGAGTGCAGCGCCGGAGAAAGGGACTTCACTGCGACATTTCCACAGGTCTAGTGATATCTGGAGAGGCTCCTCCACAAGCACTTCCAAGATGCTTTGACCCGTTTGATCCCACTGGCCATCTGAGTTTTATGTTACCACTTACCTGACGCTTTTGATACTTCTCTTTCTAGCTCCTCCAACTGAGGGATGACATCACGCTTGGAAACTGGAAGCCCTGTTCATGGGAAAAGAAAATTCGTTTGGTAAAGAGTTTATTCAGTGTTATTTCCTTGGTTATTAGGAAGATAGTATAAGAGAACGAAAGAGGGGAGCATGGGTGGTTCAGTCGGTTAAGAGGTTGCTTTCTTCTCAGGTCATGACCTCAAGGTCCTGGGAGTGAGCCCCACATTGGGCTCTCTGCTCAGTGGGGGGTCTGCTTCTCTCTCTCCCTCTGCTATCCCCCCCACAACTTGTGCTGCCCGGCTCTCTCTGTAAAAAAATATAGTTATGAGTTAACTATATTCTTGGTGGTATGGTTTCAGACTGTAAGGGGTTCAAGAAATAGGCAAAATTTTTCTCTCTAGTTTTCCTTTAAGAATAAAATCTGTCTGGGACGCCTGGGTGGCTCAGTTGGTTAAGCCGCTGCCTTTGGCTCAGGTCATGATCCCAGTGTCCTGGGATCGAGTCCCACATCAGGCTCCTTGCGCAGTGGGAACCTGCTTCTCCGTCTGCCTCTGCCTGCCACTCTGTTTGTCTGTGCTCACTCTGACAAATAAATAAATAAAATCTTTTAAAAAAAAAGAATAAAATCCATCCAATACATATTAAAAGTTAAGATGTTTGCTATACCTGTCACGGAATGTAGATTTATTTGTAAAACAGTATCTCAAGCTCAAATTACCAAAGTCCCCAAAGTGTTCCTGCCATGTCTCATAATGGCCCTGATGAGTGTGACACCCGCCACCCTGCTCCGTCTTCTCTCTCCCCCCTATCACACACTACTCCTCCCACATGCCCTGTGCCTCCAGCTGGTGGTTGCCTTTGAGATGTGGGCCACATTCCCTTTAACCCCCTTATACAAGCTGCTTCCTCTTCCTGAATGTTCTCCACCTGCCGCATCCTTTCAGCTATTTCAATCCTGCTCACACTTCATATCTCAGCTCAGGTGTTACCCTCTCAGGGAAGGCTTTCCTGGCTCTCTGGGCTGAAGTGACATGTTCTCTCCCTTCTCTCGGGTGATGCACACACTGACTTTGTGCGTCATGTCTGTGTCTCCTATTCGATGGGAAGCTCTACGAGAGCCACGGCCGGGTCTAATTTTGCTCACGGAAGCAACCCCGGTTACCTGGCACAGAGCAGAAACACTGTATTTGTCAAAGGCTGAACGAAGGAAGGAACGCTTGAAGAAGAAGTCGTAGAAACAAGTTAAAATGAAGTTCTGTAAAAGTGGGCATGGGAACACAGAGGGGGAAGGGAAGGATATCAGGCTGTTGCAGAGTGCCAAGACTAACCTTGATCTATGGGACAGGCACACAGTTCAGACTGTCTCCTAAAATGCAGGGTAAGGGAGCAGAGTGGGTCATGCTCCTCAGAATCTGTAGCTGATCCATTTACTGCTGATAACACCGATGTCTACTAATTTTTCTAATTCTATATAAAAAAATTCATGTACAACTTTAATTTAATATTGATACATTAAAACAGACCAGTTCCCTGGGGTGCTAGCAAATAAAGTCTTGTCTCTCTTTAAACTACCACTTTTGCCATGGTTCCCTGAACGTAACTATGAATATACTGGGTAATTTCGTTTGTAGTCAGCATTCCAGTGTTTATGATGCAGCTCTCCAAAAATAAATGGTAAAAACAATTCATATAATAAAATAAAGTTAAGAGAACTACCTAATTGGAAAATCCTCTGCTCAAAATAATTTAATTCTTTATTTTTATTTTTATGTTGGATCTTTTTTCTTTTTTTTACTTAAATTCAATTAATTAACATAGAATGTATTATTCGTTTCAGAGGTAAGGGTCACTGATTCGTCAGTCTTATATAACACCCAATGTTCATTACATCACCTGCCCTCCTTAACGTCCAGCCCCCAGTTATCCCATTCCCCTTCTCCCTTCCCCTCTAGCAATGCTGTTTGTTTCCTAGTTAAGAGTCTCTTACAGTTTGTCTCCCTCTCTGATTTCATCTTGTTTTATTTTTCCCTCCCTTCCCCTATGCTCCTCTGTTTTGTTTCTTAAATTTCACGTATGTTAATTCTTTAATACTTTAAGTATGAAATCACTACCCTTTTTATTTAAGTTCATGGTCCCTTAAGGCCATATGCCTTAGGAGTGATCAACATAGCAATATAATTTATACGGTTTTCTCTCTTTACAAATAGTAACAGTAATAGACTAACTGGCAGTTCCTTTCAGACTTTAGTTTCCTGAGAAAACCTCAGCAATTGAACTTGTTAAAGAGCTGCTGCTCAGTGTGCTTGTGCTGGGGCTGGAAGACACAGGAAGACCAACTGGAAACTGTCCAACAGAGGCTACTGACTCTGTCTCCCCTTTCCTCTGAAAGAGATCTACAAATTCAGATCAGAACGCCCAGCGTTTCAGACCTATGTGCTGGGAGGCAGGTCTGAAGTTGTCAAATAGTCCCACTGCCTTTACCACAGAGTCTGCTATTCTCCCAGGGTCTCAAGCCAGAGCCTACAGAAACATCTTGACTAATTTCCCTTCAATCAGAGAGAGGTACGTTTCATCTTGCTGGGCCTCTACAAACTTTTATGGGGCTTTTAAGACCCCGTGTAGGTTTTCCTGCAGACTGACTACAAATACCTAAGCTTCCCTTACCACAATCCAGCTCACCCTATGGTGACACACATACTGTGAAGACCTCCAGTGTGCTTACAGACTTTCTGCCAAAGCTGTTTCTCTCTCCTCTATTCTATTCTCCAACTACCTACTCTCTCTTGTTTTCCAAAGTATAGCTTTTATTCCAGTATTTTTTCCCTCAAATACTTTAGAGGATGGAAAACCTCTTCCAAGGCCATTTATGACTTGTCCTACCAGTCATTTCTGCATCTTTATATGTATATATATCTTCTTGTTGATTAACTATTTTCCTTATCTCTATCTTATTTCCTTGGTAAATTTTGTGAGTCAAGGAAACTGGCTTTTATTACTTTGCGTCTGACCATGAGGCCAATGACAGCACCAAAGAGCGAGTAAGAGTGAACTGAGCACTCAGTGTATCGAGAAGGAATGCCAAAGGGAAACTTCTGCACAAGTGAGGAGCATTTACTGTCTGGTTCATCACTCATCATTTTATCAGGATGAACCCAGTGGTCTAGGAATCATGGGTGAGCAACTCCTAAACAATGGAGGAAATCATATTTCTGTTCTGAAAACAAAAGAGAATAAAGAAGAAATTAACCCACCTGGGATGCAGGCAGGGGTCAGTAGCCCGGTGGTCATGCCATTTTCTCCAGCATAGAAAAGGTGTGAGTCCTCAGAAAGTAACCCTACAAGTGGAGTCAGGAGCCGTGATGATTACTCTTGCCATGTAGTAAACTTGCAGATACTGCCGTACACAGCTACTTGTCACCTAAGAAGAGTCAACACAGGAAATCGAGGGACAATCCCACAGCATCCCTGAATCAAGACAAACATGACCATCATTGCCTCCCACTCCTCCTATACTCCTCTGCCCTTAAATTCTAGTAAGATTCTGCTATGAAAATCTGGACATATAAATTAAATACGTATTTCTCTCTCTCATCGGCTGAGTGAGAGTGAAAGTAATACTCAAAGTTTCTGTGTGTCCATCCATTCCTCATTTAATGACCCATTCTTGTCCTATTCTAGGCTCACAGGATGAAGGAAGACTAGTTAAAGTCTTCTTGAACTGGTTTTTCAGATACAATACTGGCATTCTTAGGAAAGCAATGGGTCTTATGGTGGTGGTGGGGGGGGGGAATCCTGGATTCTAAACAAATCCTGTGACTTCTGGAATCCTCACTTTACCCATCTGCCAAATGGGTATGACAATCTCCTTCCTACCAACTTATGGGGCTCCCGTGAAGAGAAAACGAAATCATTATCAAAAGCCACATTGTTGGATCTGATGATTTGGGGTGCAAGGGAGGCATACATCATTCCAAAGACCAGCAGGGCAAGAGGTAGCGGGCTCTCCCTCAAAACCTCAACGTGAGACCAACCAGATGGAAAGAGCTGTGGTCTCACAGAGAAGACGTGATGCTTCCCCTTCCAGAGACTGCCCAGCCAGAGGGCAGCCTTTCCCTTTTTCTCTCCAGCAGGCTCTGCGGCCGCATCCCTCCGAAATTCTCACCTTTGCCCCAGGCTCCATGGCTACTCCCTCCCCCGGCCCGCGCAGGTGACGAATGCCGCGGGAGAAGGGAGCAGCGAAAGCGCGAGGGACCCAGTGTGTCCACCGCTCTGGTGCACTCGGAGGCCCGGGACCGCGCGCGCGAATCTCACGGGGCAGTCTGGCGCCACCCCGGGGCCCTCCCGCCGCCCTCCTTCCGGCCACTCAGACTTGGAAGGCCCCGCGTTCAGGCCCCTCGACAACAGGCTCGACCTCCTGCTCGATGGGGAGGAAGCGCCGGCTAGGCGACAAAGGTATCTAGGAGTCCGCCAGGCCAAGTTTCGCCGGCCGAACTCGAGGCTGAACTACAACTCCCAGAATTCTCCGCGGGGCGCGGTGCATGTCGCGGAACGCCGCTTCCCAGAGGACTCCGCGGGACGCTAGCCAGGCGGACCTCCCCGTTGGGGGCTGATGGTCTCGCGACGCCAGGCAGTTAGTGGGTCTCAAAGAGCCTGGAGTCCCCTAGAAAAACCCTTGCTGGCTGCTCGAAAGGGCGGCTCGTTGGTGCTGACTCTGGACCCATTCCCACAAGATGTATTCGGCCGCGCTAAACCCCGCCTAGCATGATACATTTACTGCCCCGCAACTGTGAGGGGCTAAGGGCCTGGCGGCACCCTGCCCCTCCCCCGCCGGGTTCCCTCTTTACCTGCGGTGCTCCGTCCCCCTGGCTTCCTTTCTGTGCCTGTTAGGGTACAGAGTCGACCACCCCTCAATTAGAGAACACTCTCGATAATGCAAGTCACACAGCGAGGTTTATTTCCAGCTAGCTGGGGTCCAAGTATCTGCCCGGCGCAGCAGGTTTCAACAAGGACCCCGAGCACTCAAAGCCAAGGGTTTATATAGCATTTTCAAGGCACTTTCCCATAGCTACATACATATCTTGCACCCCACTTTGACAGTTTAACTTTAACCTTTTGCCACCCTGACATCACCCTGGCGCCATCCTGGCGGTTAAATGGGATTTAGGTTTAGAAGAAATTTAACTTTATTTACATTTCCTTCTGCCTCAGCCTCCTTCAGTTTTATGGTGGGGAGGGCGACCTTAGGCCTTGAGGAACTGAGCCCTTTGTCTCTGGAAATTGAGCCATTGAAGAGATAGCCCTTTTTGTTGTAAATCACCAGGACATTTGCAAACCAAGGGAGACTCCTGACTTGCAAGATTGTGATCTCTGCAAGTTAACTATTTGTTTTCTTTAACATCTGGTCCCTGTGGTGCCATCGCCTAACCGCCCTGGTGATATATGATTGTTTCCTAGGTTTTAGCTACTTTCTCTTATCTCGAGTTATGTGCGCGTGTGGGCTGGTTAGGGACGCTCAGTAAAATGGCTTCTCGGCCTTCAGGATGGCCATTCTTATGCTAACACACTCTTACAGAGCAAGGTGCCAGCTTTTGCTTTGCCAGGATGGCTGTACTTATGTCAGGGCTAGACTCGAGGTGGGTACAGCCTTGTTTTTCTTGGCCTTCACACCTGGAGCTGGTTTCTGGGACTTGTTTTTAAGTCCCTTGGGGGAAGAGGAGCAGGGACAGTTTAAGGGTTAAACAACAAAGTTATTGTTTAACTTCAATGGAAGCCTCTGGCTAAAATAGAAATATAAAATAGGTCCTTACATGCCTCCATGGTATGAGCCCATTGTGATGGGAACAGGGATTATATAGAGTAACCAGGGGTGTGTATTCCAGGCTGCGTCTCAGAATAAGGAAAAGTGAAATCTCAGTCCTGGAAATTACCTCAACACAGACACAGGTCCCCAAAAAGTTATTAGTTAATAACTGGTGTAAGGACCTATTTTATTTTATTTTTTTTAATATTTTATTTATTTGACAGAGAGATCACAAGTAGACAGGCAGGCAGAGAGAGGGAAGCAGGCTCCCTGCTGAGCAGAGAGGCCGATGCGGGACTCGATCCCAGGATCCTGAGATCATGACCTGAGCTGAAGGCAGCGGCTTAACCCACTTAGTTACCCAGGCGCCCAGGACCTATTTTATATTTTTATTTTAGCCAGAGGCTTCCATTGAGGTTAAACAATAACTTTGTTGTTTAACCCTTAAACCGTCCCTGCTCCCCTCCCCCCAGGGGACTTAAAAAGTTCCAGAAACCAGCTCCAGGTAACAAAGCCCAGATACAAGGGTGGGTCAGGCCAGGTGGAGACATCTGATCAGTGGGGGCTACATATTGTCTCCTAGCTACCAAGGTGATAGGCTAGTTTCCATGGCTACTGTGGGGTGAATTATAATTCAATTAGCCACCTGTGTGTGGCCATGCCCAACCGCATGGCGTTTGCTCTATAAAAGTTAGTCCGGAAAGCAGGGAGGGGTCATCCTCTGTAAGGGGCGGCCGGACGGGTCTGTTTGACCGTCGATCTGATTCTTGATGCTTGGCGCGAAATAAAGCTTTGCTTGACTTTCGCTTTGTATCAGTTTCACTCCTTTAATCAAGGACCCATTATTGGGGTATCCATTTTTGGGGGGACCTAACACTGGTACCGCTAACCTCAAGGCAACTGGAACATGAAAAGCCTCTTGTTGGGCTGGCAGAAAGAAAGGGCTACTTAAGATGGCGAAAGTTCCCGCCACAAAACCTGAGCTCCGACAGGAGAACAAAGACCCAAGCAGGAATCTGAAACTCCCCCCCCCCACGCCCCGGGCTCCCGTGGACCAATGGGACCCTGACAAGCGGGAATCTGAGACCTCCGCCCCAGGCTCCAGTGGACCAATGGGACCCCGACGAGCAGGCGAAATATGCAAATAAGGGAAACTTGCCAAAAGACCCCTGAACTCCCCTGGGGACCCCTTAAAAGCCCCCTTCTCCCTGCCTTGGGCGCGACTTCCGCCACTCTGCTTCCCAGAGTCGCGGAACCTTGCCCGACGGTGCCCACCATCCTCCCAGAGCAACTTTCCTGGCTCCCCTTCTCCTGAGCCCTGAAACTTCGCTGGAGAGTGCCTTTAATAAATCTTGCCTTGCACCCACTTTGCCTGGTGTTGTGTTTATCTCGCCAGAAAAACTTTACACCTCTCAGGACTCCAGAGAAGTTCGAGGAGCTCCCAACTGGGATTGGGTGTATCTTCAGGCTGGTGCATGGTCTCCCCTATCTTCCCACGATAAAGTAGTCAGCTTTTTCTAGTTCAGATTCCCAAGAAAGAAAATCAAATTAGCCTAACTGTCCCTGTTTGGGTAGAAGCCACAGTGACAATTTCTCCTTGCTCTGATAGCGTTCCCAACTTCTAGGTAGGCCTAAAACTTCCTAGAGTAAAGATTACATTTCTTATCATCCCTACCCCTTGCAAGGGAAATGACAGCAAGTGATTGCTAAAGGGAAGAGGAAAACTCCTCCATGCTGGCTGGAACACAAGTCCTCCTGGACCACGTGGATAAGGTTAACCCCAGAGGAATGGCAAACCAACCCCATGTTAGGAACTGAGCCCCTGACAATTTGGTGGAACAGAGCTTGAACTGTAATGTGACATGTAAACTTCTACTTTATGTAAGCCACTCTTACACTGGGTTTGTTACACAGATAGCTACGCTCATCTCCTAACTGGCTTGTAAGATCAGCTGTTTTTGGTCCAGTCAGCTAGGGCTGAGAGGAGAGAGGGCATGTGGTAGAGAACACTGCTCTACCAGCTCAAAGAACAACTGAAAGGAGCTCCGCCCCAACTCCCTTCCTCCATTAGCAAGAGCTATGGAGTGGATAGTTAATTTGAAATACTGTTATATATGAAAGGTGCCACTAGTTGACTTGTCTAAAAGGGAGGGTGGTTGAACACCTGGGATCCTGTCCTCCCTTTTGTTAACCAACCCCATCACAGAAATCCCCCTTCTTTTATTACCAAATCAATGGTCAGTTCTCCGTCTCCCTATCTATCACCAGCAGCTGATAAAACTAACTACTCCCTGCTCCTGGAAAAACTCTGGTCTTCCTCCCTGACTGGTCACTCCTTCTTAGTCTCTTAAGTAGACTCCTCTTCTCCCTAGCCTCGAAACCAGTGATTCTCAAAATGTACCAAGATCAGAATCGCCTGGAAAGCTTGTTAAAACACAGTGCTGAACTCTCTTTACCCTTATTCAGGGTGCTGGGGTGGGGCCAGAGATTTTGCATTTCTAACAAGTTTCCAAGGGCTGCTGAGTGTGCTGTAAATGTTGGAATGTCCCAGGGCTCAACCCTTGGGCCACTCTTCTTTTTCTGTGAACACTCACTTCTTAGTAATCTTGTTCAGTCTACATGTTCCAAATACCATCCAAATGTGATCCCAATTTCTATCTCTAACATGGGCTTCTCCAACCTTGAGCTGTCTCAATTTCTTTAGTCTTTCCTTGTTTAATAAATATCTCTAATATAGGATGTTCAAAACTGAACTTTTGATGCCCTTCCTCCCCCAATTCCATAATTCTTCCTCCTGTAGTTTTCCTTAATTCAGTAAATGGCAACTCTTCCTTCTAGTTGCTCAGTCTGAACACCTTGGAGTCATCATTCTTCTTTATCTCACAACTCACATCCAGTTCCTCTACAAATCCTGTTGGCTCTACTTTCAAGATACATGCAGAATCTGACCACGTCTCACCACGTCCACTGCTGGCCCCCTGGTCTAAGCACCCGTCGTCTGTTACCTGGATCACTGCAAATGCCTGCTCACTGGTCTCACTCCTGCCCTTGCCCTACACACCCTATTCTCAACACACAACACAGCTCCTCTCCTATCTCAAAACAAAGCCAAAGTCCTTACAGTGGCCCACAAAGCCCTGAAAAATCCACACACACTAACTCCCTGATCTCATCTTCTACCACTTTCCCCTCATTTGTTCTGCTGACACTGGCCTGTCATTCAATCCAGTGAGGCATGCTTCCACCTGGAGCCTCTGTGCTTCTTCATCTGCCTGCACAGACATTCTGGGCCAGCCGGCGGGGGGTGGGGGGTGGGGGAGGACACATGACACTGTGTAATCCAGCATATGCCTGGAGGGTATCCACGTGACTTACTCTCTCACCTCCTCCAAGACTTTGTTCCCCTTCTTTGTGAAGCCCTCGCTGACCACTTCTTTATTTTTTTCCACAGTACTTATCTCTTTCTAACGTATAATTAATTTTGTTTATTGGGTGTCTCCCAACGCACATACACCACAGATTAAGGTCCATGGGAGGAGTATCCCAGAGCATTTACTGCTCCTTAGATGATCAATAACTGAGTACACTCTTCTCTGTGCTTGTAGAGAAGGTGTAAATGCCTGAAACTAATA